AATTTCTTCTATAAATAAAATCTTAAATATGCTAGAATTGCTTAAACCAGGCCTCTGCCACGTTAAGGGAAGCTGTCCTTGATGAGGTGGTTTCCTGAGGCACTTGTAACCTAACTACTCCATCCCTGCAAAACTGAAGAGCTCTGCAGCCTGTTTTCCCCCTTAGAGACAGAACATCTTTGCACGGGGCTGGCAGCAGGGACTGAGATAAGTGAAGAATGAAAGCACATTCTAAACAAGGCTGCAAGAAGAGATCTTTGTTATCACCTAGCCCTTGGAAAGCCAGGTGGAGATCAGAAGAGCTCTGGGTACAATAAATATCCATTGTAGGGACAGGCTGTTCCCTTCTTCAGACAGGTGGAAGAAAAAGCAGGTCTGTAGGAGTGGCTGGAATCCAACATACACAAAGATTGCACCCGAGGGGCAGGAGGCATCACCACTCAGTGCCTCCTCCCTTAAATGTTGCTGTTATTCAGGCCTTGATTTCTGATGCTTTCTGTCTTTAAAAAAAAATAAGTTGTAGGGATCTGTTTTCTGTTAATGTAGGGGAGGGAGACATTTCCTAGTCATTGCTTTCTGAGTGACCATATTAAAGTTGAACATAAAACCTTTGTACTGTGAAACCCGTGCATATACAACAAGGAGTTTGAATTTATCTGATCTTAAAGATGTTTGATTTGCAAAAGCTGAGGCTCCAGAGGTGAGACAATACTGTGCCAAACTTCTCTTGCAACCCAACTTTTCCAAGTGCTAGCCCAGCACTGCCCTGGCAGGAGCAGTAGCAGGGATTTGGGTGCTGGAGCACTCTTTGCCACAAGCCCAAGGGTGCACCTGGGGACAAGGCTTGTTGAACTGGAGAAGGGGGATGCTGCAGAGCAGGAGAGGTGAAGGGACCAGCCACAGGGAGGCTGATTTGCAGAAGTAAAATGTGTGCTACTTGCTGGGGAAAGGATTTCTTGCTCAAAACTAGCAAATTACAGTTCTTGTTCTGGTAGTGTTTTCTTGGTGACTCAGGATGATGGAGGGGGGGGGTTGGAGAGGCAGGAAGGAAAGCAGAAAAAAAGGATTCCTCTCTGCCCTAGAAAATAAGTTAACTCTTAAGCTACAGATATCTGCATTGCTGTTTCTTAGGGATATCATCTGAGGCTGCATCAGCCTCTCTGCTACTGTTACTTGATGCCTGTTGGGGAAATAAAGACATAAAGCCATAGGGATGTTGGTCTAAAATTGTGCACAGGGGGATTTGGGATGTGATAACTTGAATCTAACCCACAGGCACAATCTGAAGGTGCAGTGATGAAATGAAATGCACAGTTTGGGGAGTGGAAGGGAGGGAATGCAGTCACCCCTGGGCTCAGTGCAATGTTAGTTATGAGCTTTGGGTGATGCACAAAGATTTTAGGCTGCCACAAACACCTCCTGTCCTTCTGTTTAGTACCAGCTGCAGCCTTAGTGCTCAGCGATTTGAATTACTTTGAAAAACAAACAAGAAAACACATGAGAAGAGAATCTTATCTCTATTTCTTGCCCTTAATTCATTACGCAGTCCCCTTCCACCCACTGAACATCAGATGAAGACTTTTTAGGTCACTTTTTGGCACCTGCCTGCTTTCTTGCTGGAGGGCAAGATGCGGCTGAGTTTTAAGAGAAAAACATCAACCCCTGTCACTTACTAACCTTTTACATCTGCATCTTCGTCTTCTGGTTTCTAGAATGAAAAAGAAAATGATTTAGTTGAAAGAGACAGTCACAGGTCAGTGAAGAAACGCTGCAGCAAGGCAGGCCTGGCATTCCCAGCAGCTTGAATGGAATTTTCATGTGAGTAACAGTAGCAGCCTCAGCCTGGGAACACTGCTGTCTCCAGCACCTTTTGCGTGTTGCTGAAACTCCATTGGCAGCAATTAATTTCCCAAACTGGAGAGGAGCAATGATGCCATGGAATGATGCTCTTCCCCATCTTGGCTTCCCTGTGGTTACTTTGGGATGTGTTTGGCAAAATAAAATGTCCAGCCATTAACTTCAGCACAAGGTAAAATCTGTCCTTGAGGGCTCGAGTGGAAATTAATTGCAGCTAATGGGTTTTCATTGATGGTTCACATCAGCATTAAAAGGTAGAAATAAATCACTGAGGGCCTTTGTAGGTTGTTGCAAGTCACTGGGAAATCCTGGTGCACATGGAGGGCACTTGGCTCCCGGAGACTTCAGAGGGAATTTGGACCATCTCGGGGTGCTTAGCCAGAGATTTTGCATCACTGATTCAACCATTGCAGTCCCTGAGCCTGTGTAAGTAAGTGGCTCGTTTGGTTGCAGCTCAAGCTGCTCATGAGAGTCTTGGCGTTTGAACTTGCAGGCCCATTTTTACCGCGAGACACCAGCTCAAGGACCGTAGAGCCAAAGCAGTTTGATGGAGTAAATGTTCTCTATTTATCATCTCTTCTTCTTCCTCGTGCTGTAGAACTTGATAATTATGTCTCAGGCTAAGCCTGCAGGTGAGGAAGAGAGGGACACTGATTTTTCTTAGCTGTGTCCTTCTCCTGGGCTGTGCCCTGGTTCTCAGATCCCTGCCTAAAGGGCATGGCTAGAAGATCCATTCCCCTGAAGGACAGGGCTGTGGTTTTGGGCTGGAGGAATATCTACAGGGGGTTTAGGGGTGGGTCTTACGTTGGCACAGCATGATGGTGATTGCCAGGGCCAAGACGAGCAGGAAGCAGGCGCCTGACAAGGGAACCCAGATCAGGATGTCACAGAAGTAATTCAGCTCTTTCTCCTTGCTGGTGTCTGTAGGAATAGAGAAGAGGAAAGGTCCACCAGGTGCTCACAGCTGGTGTTAAGGCCAACTGTGTTGGAGCTAAGGGACCAGCCTGGTGTTCAGTGAAGCTAGTGCTGAAGCAGAGGGCTTCCCCTGGCCTCCGAGGGTGCCAGGCATGTCCACAGGTAGCCAAAAGTTTTTGTGTCCCTGTCTGGGGCTCAGACCAGCCCCAGCCCGCAGGGCTCTGCCCTCCCTCTGCCTCTTCCTGCTGTACCCAGTCATGAGACATCCTGAGGCTTTTGAAATCATCCTGAGCCTTCCTACCTGGAAGGACCTGTTGGGAATTAACCCTTCCAGCTGCACACACCCAGTTATCCAACCCTCATCAAGTGCAAGGATTTTCCCTCCCCCCTCTTTCTAAAAAGCCTGCAGGATCCTCCTTGGAGCCCATTTCTTCTCCTCTCCGTCCCTGGAGCTGGGATACCTGGAGCTGGGCTCTTCAGGCAGGGGTCCTGGGTGATGTCAGTCTGGTTGGTGGGTGCTGTGGTGGGCACTGCTGTCGTGGGTGCTGCTGTGGTGGTGACTGTAAACAAAAATGAATGGATATAGCATCTAGGACAGTAAAATAAATGAGCTTCCTCCTGCCCTTCTACTCTCTCAGCCCAGCCAGGGCACGGCTGCTCCTATGGCCACTGTAGGGCTCTTCAGAGAGCCCCTTTTGGATGATGACTCCCACAGTGAAGGTCTCCCAAGGCCAAATAAGGAGTTGAAGGCTCCTTATTTCTTGCTTTCTGCCAGCACCTTCCAAAAGCCTGAGTACCTGAGGTTGGGAGTACTTTTGGGCCCGACATGAGGTGAGGAAGGACAGGGTGGTGGACTTTGCTGTGGTCTTATTCCTTCCGAGCCATGAAAGGGCTGGAGAAGAGGGGATGGGGAGGTGGTGCTGGGTGTGGCTGGAAGCAGAGCCTCTGGCAGGAGGACCAGTGAGTTGGTCACAAGATGCCTTGGGCAAGCAAAGCGGGGAAAAGGAGTTTGTGGGAGAGGGGACTGATTAAAAAAGGCAGAGGCAGGAGGTGCTGGGCATTTATTCTGGCAGAGCTAAGCGAGGTTGGGTGGAGGTGTTACTGACCTGGGAAGAAGGCAGGCTGGCCAGAGCTGAAGTACAGCATCTGGTTGTTGTTCATGAGGCAGAAATAGGTCCCCTCATCCTGTGGCGTGAAAGACTTCACTACCAGCCGGTAGATTGTGCCCTCTTTCCATGCCTGGAAGTGTGTGGCTTCCATGCCTGGAAGCGTGTGGCTGTCTTCTTATCATTCTCAAAGGTGGTTCGGGACAGGGAAGAGATGAAAACAATGAAGTGAAGGGTCCCACCCATGTCCTGGTGGATCCAGAACATGCCAGTGTCATCCCTGTTGGTCAGACACTCCAGCTCCAGCTGTTCTCCCTCCCGTGGGTGGTTGATGTTCCTGTCACGAAACCTGGCTGTCAACTGGTACCTCTGGCCACGGATCCCAGGGCAGCCTGTGGGAGAGACACCCTCATGGGAACGGCTCAGGAAGAGCTGTGTCCCCTCTGTGCACACCTCCTTCGCTGTCCATGGGGTGTGAGGTTGAATGTCAATGCTGTTGTGGTGACCTGAAGGAGTCCTTGCTGGGATTGCGTGTGGAGGGTGCTCAGCAATCAGCCTCCTGGGCTTTAGAGGTGGGTGCAGCCCTGCAGAAAAGCCTTTCATCTGCCTTCTCAGGGACGTTACCCCTTCCAGCTTATCTGGTGTCTCCCTGGAAACACAGACTGCTAAATCCCCCATTATCCCCCTACCCACAGGTCAGCCTCCTTGGCTTGCTTTTTAGTTCCCCTTTGGCTGTTTATCCCAATGTCTTGGATTCAGTGGAAAGGGTTTCCTTGCCCCTCCCGGTGAGTGCGATGCAGAACCCCGTGTCCATACTCACAGAGCTCCAGAGCCAGCAGAAGGAGCAGTGCAGGAGCCCTGGCCATCTCCTGCCAAGGGTGGCCTCCTCAGGACGGTGCAGCGGAGCAGAGAGGATTGTTCCTACTGCCTTGGGAGGCTGTGTCACACTTTGGGGAGGATGTGATGTCACCAGGACCCTCTTGGGTAGAGAGACGGTGTTTGGCATTGGTGGCAGCATGAAGGGAACAAACCCCAAAACACTTGTGAAGTAATTCCATTTCAGAATCCAGAATTTGGGCTAATTTGTAGTTACCGGTTCCTAATGGTGCCTCGAGGGTCTCGCCTTGATGTGTTCCCTAGAGGTTCAGCCTGATGGTGCTGGAGCCTGAGGTGGGATCAGCCCCCAAGTCCTGCTGGCTCCAGCCATTTGGGGGTTCACAGCAGCTCCAGCTCCACAGAAGTCATGGTCAAGTCCTGCACTGTGGCTGCAGGGCTCATATTTTATTGCCCAGCAAGCAAGGCAGGGGTGTCCCGCAGCACCTCCTGGTGCGTCTTTGTTATCTCCAGGCACATGCACTGCAGACACAGCTGAGTTCTTCAGGTGCTCGATTGCTCTCTTTGCACTTGCTTTGGCAAAAGCTGCTTTGTGCAAGGCAGGTGGTCTGTGAGCTGAAACCCACCAGAAAGCTCCGTGCCCCAGAGGGATGTTGTTTTGTGCTTTTGTTAAACTCCATGTGGTTTTCTTCTCTAACCACAGGGGCTTCCGCCCTGCCAACAGGCTTCACCCTTGCTGCTGCCTCCAGGTGACCACTTGCCCGTGGGTATGGGAGATGCTTCCTGGAGCTTTGCACAAACAACAGCACCAGTTTCACCAGACTGTGAGGCTGTGGTGTCTTATTTATTTGTCCAGTTGACCCTTTCTGGCTTTCCTGCTGGTTGTTTTTCTGTGTGAGCTGTTCTTCTGTCCCTCCTTTGCACAGAAAGCCCCTTGCTCCTGAGCAAGTCAGAAACCGTGTGCTGCTGGCTTTGTTGCCTCTGCTCTTGTGGCTGCTGCTTTGAGATGAGTTATGGAAAGTGGCTTAGAAACTGGATTCATTTCATTGAGTATCAAAGCCCATTGGTGAGTGAGGAAAGCTGCTCCTCAGCCTGCTGGGAGGTGTGAAATTGGTACTTTGATGAGGCTGTGATACTTGTGATGGCTGCATGAAATAGGCCTGGTGAGATGTGCAAGGTTCATGTTTTGATGAGGCTGTGATACTTGTGATGTCTACCTGAAACAGAGCAAGTTTGGGCAGGTTTGAGTGTTTTGCAAGGTTCTCCAGCTGTCTTCAGGTGAGATATGTAAGTGATGCTACCTGTGTAGGCCCTTCTGATTTCAGTGGGCTATTTATTATCTCCTCATCCTAAGGAGAATTCATTCTCCCTTTATAAGGGGATAAGGTGCTCTTGGGAAGAGCCTGTGTTCATGGGCTGATGGAGGAATGTAGGCAAGGAGCTGAAACCATGGGCCTGCCTTGTAGATGACTGCAGTTGAGTCTCATCTTCTCTGGGATGCTGAAGTGAGCTGATGTCTCTTGTCCATCAGGATTGTTAGGTGAGGCTCCCCTCCCTTCCATGACTATCAGATTTCAGTGACAGAAAAGGACATCTACAGGGCTTTTTCAAAAGCACAACCCTCTTGAGACCAAAGGGGGAAAATTCCTGATTCCCACATCTCAGCATGGTTCCAATGAAGGTGAATGTGCTGGCACATGGGGATGCGGAACATATTTGTCAGGGTTCTCACTGCTGTAGAGGGGGGTTTCTTAACTACTGCACGTAGTGCATGTCCTCCAAGATGTGGTGATGGAGGTGCTGGGGGAACCTATGCAGCTAAAGGATCATCCACGAAGGGCTGGTGACTTTCTTAGCAGTGACATCTTGCCTCTCTCTTGTCCTTGAGCAGCAGTAAAATGTATTGTGACTCTGTTCCAGGTGCCAAACTGGAGCCCAGAGATTCCTCTGCTGGGTGTCCTTCATCTTGCTCCTCATGACTCATGCTGGGGTGTCACAGGAGGTGGCTTCAGGGGGAGCTATTTCCCTTTGTGCTGCGGCAATAAACTGCTAATGAATATGTCCTTTTAAGGCAAGACTGAGCACCAAGGTCAAATCAGTGAAATCCTGGCATTATTAACAAGTTTGATTAGCAATTTCTGTTGTAGTGCCACAGTTCTGACATGACTAAGGAAGAAGGAAGATCTCAAATAACCAATAACTTCTGCAGAGCATCACATAAGAGATGTCAGGAGACCAGACAGGTTGGTTAGGCAGTAGAAGGTGATTCTTTTTTTTCTCCCAAACCTACCCATACATTTTATTTTGCTTATAGCTGAGGTTGAAGGACTGTGATTGCTGGTGAACTCTAACCTAAGTCACTTATGACTTGGGTTTATCTTTATATACTAAGGCAAGCCTAAGTCTGTGTTTGATTACTGTCCAACAATTAAGCAGGAGATGGGAGCAAGGGTCAAAGAGACAAAACCACACAGGAAAGAGACAGACTGATGAGGATCCACATTTTTTGAATGGGACTTGACAGGAGGTGAGTTTAGGATCAATTTTCTGTGCACTGGCTTCCATCCATTTCACAGAGCACAGGTGGGAAATGAGAGGGAGCTTGGGGCATCAGAGCAGGAAGAGGTGCTGGGTTTTAGATGTGATTGATTTCATAGTTGTTTTGTGGAAGGATCAGTGGCTTTTGCATAGTGGTAAGAAACTCTTTAGTTTCTTAGTAACATCAGACATTGCATGAATGTCTGAGCATATTGTGTGGCTGGCAGCAGGAGCACATCTCAGGACATGGGAGTGATGCTGTGGTGGGTGGATAGACACAAAAGGAGCATCCAAATGCCCACGGTCTATCAGGTCCACTGTTTCTGCTGCCCATGGTATCTCCTTGTAGTGCCTCAGGTGGACATCCCGTTGCTCAGCAATGATGCAGCCTTGCTGCTGGTGAGCAGGTCTTGTGTGATCCCTGCAAGTGGCTCATGTGACCTGGGGTGTGACACTGAACTGTGTTTGCTTCAGCATTGCTGATCCTTCCTGTCGTTGAGCTTTGATCTCTTTCCTAAGGAGGAATGGAAACTTTTAACGAGGATTTCAGAATTTAGCTGCAAATCACAACCTTTTCTTTCAAAGAGAGGAAAAATACATGCTGAGACCATAGCATACAGCTCTTCCGGTGTGAAATGAAGCTGTGGTTTATGAGCAAGTTGCTGCCCCCTTTTCTTTACAGAGCTGCAGCATTGAAGGGGTTTGGAGAACATCAAGTGCAACTGTCACTCAGCAGATCCACAGGCTCTTTCCACTGTAGCTGCCTGTTTGCACCTCAGTGGCCAAAACTGCACTGTCTCCTGGGTGCTCTGTGTAAACACCACATGCCTTAAAACACAGAGTGCAAACCACTCCTGTGCTCTGCTCTCTCCATGGTGTAAACCTCTAACCTGCTCACTTGGTAAAAAATCTCCATAATCTCCATGCTTGTTGGTAGCTCAGCAGAGAGGCTGGTACAAGAAGACCTGAATGTGTTATGAGTTTTCCTTACACAGCTGTTTGTGGCTTCCTGTGAAGACAGGCTGAGAGAGCTGGGGCTGTTCAGCCTGCAGAAGAGAAGGCTTCAGGGAGAGCCACCTTCCAGTGCCTGAAGGGCCTACAGGAAAGCTGGGGAGGGACGTTTTACGAGGGCTTGAAGTGAGAGGACAAGGGGCAATGGATCAAAACTGGAAGAGGGGAGATTTAGGTTGGACTTTAGGAGGAAATTCTTTCCTGTGAAGGTGGTGAGACACTGACACAGGTTGCCCAGAGAACCTGTGGCTGCCCCACCCTGGAAGTGTTCAAGGGCAGGTTGGATGGGGCTTGGAGCAACCTGGTCTAGTGGGAGGTGTCCCTGCCCATGCAGGGGGGTTGGAACTAGATGATCTTTTAGGTTCCTTCCAACCCCAACCGTTCTGGGATTCTGTGACTGCCTCTTGCTGCTGTGGAGCTGGTTTGTGCAGGCATTTGGTAAATCAGCAATCCACGATGGCATCTTTTGGGGAGTGGTGACAATTTACTCTGCCAGTGGCACATCTGGTGCTGGCAGCTCCAATCTGACTTGCGGGTCAGGCTGAAGACAAACAAAGTCATCCTCAAACAGAAGTCTCTGCCAAAGGACACTGAGGATGCAGAGTCTGGGAGAGAGGTCCATGGTGGGTCACACAACAGACAGCAACAGGCCCAGGAAATATTTTTAGTTAAAAATAACCTCAATACTAAGGGAAAGTGCCAGATATGGTTGTCTTGTCCTCCTGATTCCTTAGCCATCTGCTCGTAGCCAATGCTAGAGAAAGAAGAGTGGTTTGGACAGACCTTTGCTCTGAACCAAACCAGTCATTTTTATATTCTCAGCTATGAGATCTCATTACCATGTGTCCTATTAAGGAAGCCATTTGCTACAAGACTTCAGGTCCATTTCCTCTGACAATCTGTTTCCCATCATCCCATATTTTAGTGCAGAACCCTTAACTCTTCCTTAGCTGTGATTTGGGCCTGACCTGACAACAAAGCACCAGCCCCGTGGCCGCTCACTCAGCTCCCCCTTCACACCCTGGGATGGGGAGGACAAACCCAACCAGAAGCTCCTGAGCCCAGACAAAGGACAAGGAGGGTTCTTCACTGATTAAGGTCACAGGCAAAACAGACTCAACTTGGGGCAAATAATAATGTAATTTCACACTAGTCCAATGCCCACAGGACACAGACACACCCAGAGCAGGGCTCGCACACGTTACCCCCACCCCTCCCTTCTTCCCGCCCAAACCCCTTTGCTCCCGGTTTCTCTCCCTCCTTCCCCCCAGCAGCACAGGGGGATGGGGATGGGGTTTAGAGTCAGGTCACAGGCTGCTGGTTCCTGCTGCTCCTTCCTCCTCAGGAAGGAGGATTCCTGACAGTCCTGCCCTGCTTCCCCACAGGGTCCCTCCCATGGCAGAGACTCCTCCACCAACCTCTCCTCCAGGAGCCCTTCACACCAGGCCCAGAGCTGCTCCAGCGCTGCCCACAGAGTCACAGC